CATAGCAAGACAAAGAGTAACTTTTGTAATGGACCAGTTAGTACCTAATGTCCTGTAGAATTAAAAATAAATTTGTACTAATTCTTATTGAGCTGTAATCTATATGTAATAACTTGGAGTCATAAGTGTAAAATGTAATGAATTTTGATACATGCCTACCTTCAGGGCTAGGTATCAAACTTGCACTGAAGTAAGTGTCTGTGGCTAGCTTGCAGTGCTGTGTCCTAACCCGTTGCACCACCAGGGAGGACCTAGTGTATATTTCTAAAAAAAAACTACTCATAAAATGGGTAGAACTAGTTTAAGTGAGAAATCTAGTGTTTGTATTTAGTGTCTTTAGATAGCTGGACAGTAGTGAACTTAGTCTATGCTGATTTTCCTATCATAAAAGTGAATTTTATTGAATAATAGTGTTTAATAAGGGTTTTGAACTTTGTAAATGAGGAACCCCAGGTATAAGGAATCCTCCATTTTCACAGTAAGAAGAAGGAATTACTGGCATAGAAATTTTTAGAGGTGAGGATGAAATAGTTAAATGTGTTATTAAAATACTGCATATTTGCTTTTAAAAAATCTTAGTTTTTTTGGAGATAATTTATATATTTATATATACAGTTTAAAAAAAATACATGGCGATCTCTTGCATTCTTAATTCATTTTATTCCAAAGGTATAATAGCATACTTGCATTTAAGATCATAAGCTATGTAAAATTATTTGTGTTTGTACATGTATATGTAAATGTAAATGTATGCAGTTACACAAATACATGTACCAAGTATAAATTTTAAGATACTTTCTGTTACAGATATCAGTGTATTTAATATTTACTAAAACTGGGCACTCCCTGGTGGTACAATGGGTAAAGCACAGCAAAACTAATATTTACTAAAACTATATTTAAAGTTATTCACTACCAGTGTTTGGCATAGACTTTAAACATCTGTAAATGTTGCTCTCACTGAAAATTTTATCAACATCACAAGAATCCATACATACAACATTAGGGTAGTTGCCACTGTTTTAACATTATTTGTGATCTTACTGACATTCCAAGGCTTTTTACTGGATTGTTTTCTAAATGATCTTCAAAGATCTTTTTTCATTAATGATCTTTTTCAGTAGCAACTCCTAGTAATCGTGAGATCACATTCCAGAACTAAGTATAAATCTGTGTTTATAGCTGTATTTTACTTTCTTTTGCAACCTTGAAAAAGTATCCCAAGCTAGTGTTGTCGACATCTTTCCAGACTTTGGTATTTTTGCCCAGTCATGAGACTTTCACTACTGTGTCCTTTTCATTGACTCTTTTTTTTTTTTTAAAGATTTATTTATGCATCTAGAACTGAGGTACAGGCCAGAGGTGTGGTGGGTGAGAAGATTTACTAGAGACAGAGAGGGGAGCAGAACAGGCAGGTTGACAAAATACACTGCTGAGGGGAGCAGCGGATGGGTCAGGAGAGGCCTGCTGTACCATGTGGGTCACCTCCGGGGCCAGTGATCAAACTCACACTGAGGTGGCTGCTGTTGCGGTTGCAGCTGCGGCTAGCTTGCAGTGCTGCACCTGTTGCACCACCAGGGAGCCTTCTTATTGACTCTTTAATTGGATAGATGTCCCAAGATATGACACTGTCGAGGGTTTTTCCAAATTGAGTATTTTAAAAATATATTTTTTGGATGCTTACTTACCTCAAAAATAAGTACTTAATATTAAGCAGTTTCCGTTTTTTTAAAGGATATTTTTAGAGAATATCTTCCCTGAAGTATAACCACTGCATACAGTGTGTGTTAGAGCTCATAATACAGTTAACAATTTTCTTTTATGTGATGTGGAAAAATCTTTCTGGTATTTTTATTCATTTTATTGTGTTTGTTTTTTCCCTGCTTTTCTAAAAGAGTTTTTGTATGTTTAAATGTTTATTCTTTATCTTGTTTTAATTGCTAGATTGACTGTTTATCTAAAAACTGTATTGAGCTATTACTACTGTGTACATCTTTTACGTGTGTCTTTTTAGTGTGGAGCATTTGCTATGATCCTTTCTGTCTTTGAATTTGGACATTAATGTTCCGACACTGCTCATTATAGTCCCCTACCTGGAATCTAAATTATTACATTGAAATTAGCTTTTAAATTGGCACCACTCATATTGTTGCATTCTAGAAACTGTTTCCTCTTATTAACGACTCTATCTTTTCCTTTGTAAGATTCCCTGAAAAAGAAAGCTTTGCAGACATCATGTTAATGATTTAGAGTGATTGGTAATAGTGCAGACAAAACAGATGCATATTTGAAAGCCTTCTATGTCATTTACCAGCTAGGATTTTTGTCTGCTTGAACTGGCTTTTTTCTTGTTTGCCTGGGGTGAGCAAAGAGCAAAGATTTAGTTAGAGATGTTTGAGACTGCTTAGCTGTGAAGGAAGCTAAGCTTTCTCACAGTAAGTGTAGGAGATTACATGCAGATAGGTATTAGTTTTTAATCGTCGAATCTTTGAGGGGCAACTGGAATGATTTTTAGATGGAGGAGGTGGTGTGGGTTTTTTTTTTTCTTTTCCTTCTCCAATTTCTCTTGGTCTTTCCTTTCTGTTATTAAAGGAATTTGGATTAGGAAATGTGACGAGTTGTTTTTACATATTGATTCTCTTCGTTACTAATGCATTCTCTTTGCCATAAAGATTTTTTTTTGTTTTATGATCACACCTAACCTAGAGAAATTTAGGGATCCAAAGACTGGAAAGTTTGGCATATTTGTTTTTCCCTTTGACATCTTTATTTTTATTCTGCCTCAATTTCTTCACACTTTGGACAAAAAAGTATCTGTTGACAAGCATTGAAATAAATGGTGACATGGGTTTTATTTGCATATTTATGTTAAAAGTATTTTCCTGGTATATGTGTTATGTGGATGGTGAGAGATATGAGAGTTGTATGAATGTGAAGAGAAGATTATAAATTTTGCTAGAATTCTCAACAATAGTATTAGTTCCCCAAAACTACTTAGCTGGAAGCTTAATTTATCCTTCATTAAAAGATGTCCTTCAAATTGGAAAATTTACTTCAGAAGGAGACACAACTAAAGGAAAGTACCAGTTATCACATTGGTGAGGGTATATTGAAAAGAGTACTTTTTATTATTTTTTAAATAATATAGTAGTTTATCTTTACATCATTTTGTCTTTTTCCATCTCAGTTGTAATTCCCAGTGGCTTCCAATCACCAAATCACCCATGTGCCATCATCATAGTCCAGCCCACTTCCCTCACCCCACTGTTTTTGATCCCATTCCACTCCTGTAAAATGTCTCTGGTCTTAGTTGTTCATTATTACTATTATTTTTCTCGCCTGGTCTTTCATACTCCTATATGAGTGAAACCATTTGGTATTTTCCCTTTTCTTTCTGACTTATTTCACTAAGCATGATCTTGAAAAGAGTACTTTTAAATACCTTTGATGAGAGTGTTAACTGGTAGAACTTATTTGGCACTATCTGGGAGTTACTGGACACTACTATGTATTTATATTTGCTCAGTAATTGATACTTAAATTTTGTCACTGCCTTACGATGTTTATGTTAAGGAGAGTCCTAAAGAATGATCCACCTGTTAATACAATATCTCTTTTGGGAAAGAGATATAACGATTCTCCTTTTACCCCATGGCAATTCTGTTATCTCAAAGCAATTACTAGCCATTAGGTCATGGGTCACAGTACAGTGGAAAACAATTACAGTCATGGGTAATACTTCCTGAGGGAGGCTTCATTAACTGTAAAATTTAGTGAGTAAGGAAGAAGATAACTTGCCTTATTCCATGTGTAGGAGCGGCTCTGGGTAGGACTCAAATTATTGGGAGGGAAGCTTTTGAGGAATTAGGCTATAAATAGATCAACTTGCCCAACATACAGTTTTCTAAGTGGTTTTGGAAAGAAAAACCTACAGGAATTGAGAGAGAATTGGGAAAGAAAGCAGCAATGAGAAATAATTGACAAATTATTGATTGCCATCATACTGTGCCAGGCTGCTGTGTGGTGCCAGGTGCTGTGTTGTGAACAAACGATGGCCGGCTAGGTGGAGTTTCTGCAAGTATTTCCTCTGCAGTTTACCCAGCCATTTGACCTCAGACAAGTTGCTCAGCTGTCAAATGATATGACTAAACTGCTTGTCCCTGATTTTCCTTAGACCCCTCAGTTTAATAATACGTTAGATCAGGTGGTGGGAACATTTTCTCATCAAATTACTCATCAGTTGTAGCTAATTCTGTGAAGTTTCTTGGTTGTAGAAATGTTAATGTGATTTTTAAAAAGTACATTTCAGAAGCAAAGCAGTATGGTAATACCCATCTCAGGCATGTTGGGAAGATTAGTAAGATAATGTACTTAAGTGTCCATGTAAGTTAGTATTATTATTAACATATGAAAAGACATGAAAAATAATTTGGGAACATCTGAAGAAATAATCTAAACAAGGTCATAATGTCACTGATCTGAAATAGAATGAGAATGAATGAAGGAAAAGAAGATGAGATTAAAGTTCAAGAACTATTACAGAGATAAATACACACACAGGAGGAGAAATTTTTACTCCTTTACAGACAAAAATTTTTCTTGTTTGAAGTGATGACTTCATGGTTGGTATATGTTACAATGTGACTGTAGGGAATATGGTAATTGTATGGGATAAGTAACACTCCTTTATTATATTCTGGTTATATTAATAGTGTTTCTGAACTTGCTGCCACACAAGCTGCTAATCACAGAATATAAAACATCTACTAACTCACATACAAACAAATAAATATGCAAACAAGTGTCATGTTTTATTTATTTATTTATTTATTTTTTGTGGGGGAGTGTGGCTAGTTATAGACATATTAATTTGTTAACTCAGTTATCTGGCCAGAAAATTCTTTATCTACATTTATCTTTATGTTTTGAATAGAGTGATACTGAATTTTTAGCTCTTCTTTCTTTTTTTTCTTTTCTTTTTTTTTTTTTTTTTGCCCCAGGTCCAGCAAGACTATGAACCTCTGTTCCAAATGCTTTGCTGGTAAGTCCAGATAAACATTTTTTTAAATTTAATTTCTCTTCTTTTGGTTGTTTTTAAGACTATATTTGATCTTCCTTTGGATTTATGGCATGGGGTTTTGTTTTCTTGTGTGTGTGAAAGGAATTTCTCCTTGCTAAGGTGCTTTATATATTTGTCTAGAAGTGCCTTTGGTAATTGCGCCAAACTTCCCTTGGGTTCACAATTGTAGGCACACAGAATTGCAGTAGTGAATTAATGTTCATCTCTGATTTGACTTAAATGATTAATGGTGAATGATATTTTTATCAATGAGAATTCAAGACAAATATTTTTATGTTGGGAGTCAGGAAGCAAATCATGCTAAATTAGTCCTTTTCTAGTTTCCCCTATTGAAATCATTTTGGATAATACTGTTAATTTCTTTGAACCATAAGTCACCATTTGTAATACAAAGTGTTTAGCTCATGTTTGTCAAAAACCCTTTCACCCTCACAACACTGATTATTGATTTCTTTAATTATGAGTTCTTCATAAAGTTGAAAGCATTTTTTAAAGAGTTTATAGCTAATGATAATATGTAACATAACTAAGTCATTAATAATAGAGACATGTCTAATTTACTAATTTTGTGAAAGAGGTGGACACTAAAGTGGTGAAGATAAAATTTAATCTGTAATATACTGCTGCAGTTGGAAAGAGGGTCCAGCGTGAATTGAATTCCACTTGGATTATTTCCAGGTGACCAAGCATTTCAAAGATACGATGAGGGGGAATAGGGAGTAACTGCAAGATTTGCTCAAAAGGGTAGGGGAAATGAAAGGTTGGATTTGATGATTAGGGTAGTTGTGCCAGTTAGCTGACAGTTATCCAAGGTAAGATTCTATCCTTCTATAGAGATCGAGGATTGAGCCCCAAACCTTTCTTACATTTTTTCTTAAAACAAAACCATTAACAAAGCCACTTTTTCTTATTTTAAATTGTAGAACATTAGATTGTAACATCATATACGATTTAGAGGTATGGGATCACTGCCTTCTGAGGATTACAATGTCAGGGATTGACTTCCTGTCCTTGAGAAAGACTCCTCAATTGGAGATACATATACATCTTGAAGTACTAGAGGGAGGGTTCACAATTGTAAACCCTTTTTAGTCAGTGTTCTAAAATATGAAGAGATTATTCAAATTAACCCTAAAGTCTTTTGATAACTTGTGTTTTCTTAGGTTGGCACTTAGAAAGTTGCTATGGTCATCCTAGAAATAGGGTCTTGTGTTTGAAAATGTTTACGTTTCTTAATGTTATGAAAGGGGACAGATGAAGTGTTGATTTTGATTCTGTCCAGGTTAAGGCTAAATATTGTTAAAGCTAAGATTGAGACCTAGTGGAGAAGAGGACTCAGAGGAACTTGTCTAAAGTTCTGTCAGGGAAAAATCTGTCAATTTTTATTTTCTATTCATTTTTCATATTGCTGTTAGACAAGTAAATATTCATAATACAAGCTGTAGAATTTATGCATAAACTAGTGGATAGAGTTGGGTGGGTTTGGAAAGTTGATAGTTTACGTGTGTTACAAGTTCGTCAGCCTTTTTTAATAAAAGGAAGGAAATAATTGGTCATGTTTCCGTTTTATCCAACTTTTAACTATTTTGCCATATTAAATGGATGTAGTCTGCTTTTCTTACTCAGCATACCTAAAGTTACAGATACAGAGCAGTGCTTCCACACTGGTGAGCACTTAGCTTTGTATTGGTGAGCATTTAGCTTTATAGTAACGATAAAAGTAGCAGTGATACAAATACTAAGAGTGTATGGTTGTTTACACACAAAGCTAGTCCTCCCATATAATTCAGGCTAGTACGACTTCAGAAGAAGGAGAGGCACATTTGAGTCAGGTGACACACATTAGATATTCCAGTTTCATGTCCCTGAATGAATATAAAGTCTAAAAAACTTTATATGCCAGTGAAGGCAGTTAAGCCACTGTCTTTGGACTTTGACATTTCTTTGGACCTTCTGCAGTTTTATTTTCTATGGTTATAATAGTCTGTCTTTATTTTTCTTCTGTAAATCACAATTCTGTATATGCTTTTGAAAAAGTTGGGTATATCTCCCAAGATTATTCTGTGAGCATAAACCTGCTGCAACATCTGTAATTTAGGTAAGGATTCTCCCTACTTTTAAGTTGATATATTTTCCAGTGGAGATTATGAATTAATTTTATATTCTTACTAAAAAAAGGATTTTGCTTAATAGATATGCAGTTTACTTGAAGTTATAAAAAAAATATCTACACTATTGAAAAGGATGATATTTAAACATCCTTGAACACAAGATCTTTCTAATTGTTAAAGGTATCTGAGAATCACTTTTTATCTAGGTTAAGCTATATTGACAACATTCTGTCAGCATTGTTCTTTAACAATTTTACATTGTTTTATGTATGACTTTGCTATAAGAATCAGTAAATGTCTATAATGGAAAGCAACAGAATTTCATGACAGGGTATTTATAATTATGTTATGGTGAATAAACTTTTTATTGGTGGAAACACTACTTTCTAAATACACTGTTACAAAATATGAGTGTTGTGTGGTTTATTAGCAATAGAGAAAATCAGTTTTATGGGTTATGATCATCATTTAAGCCACTGATCAGAATAGAAATACTCTATTCTGTATCCCTAAGTATTGTATTGTTAAACCTTGTTTGAATTATGTATATAAATGAATGTGTAATGAATTGTGATGTAGATACATTATGGTGAGATGTGATTTAAGATGTTTGAAAACTTCTGAATTGCAGGAATTCATTAGAAAGAACTGAGTTATTTTATTTGAAAAACTGGGCATATATCCTTTCTGTCTTGTGACCTTGTTTGTTTTGAGCTGTTGACTAATATTACATTGCATTTCTTTGGGCTTACTGTAAAAGTTTGTGTAAAAGCATAAGCCAAACCCAGTTGCATATTGCTGTGTTAAGATATATATGAAAAGTCAAACATAGCAAATAAAATGGTAATCTTGTTCTATAAAGAGGTCAAAATGAAATTTTACATGTTATTTTCTTTTTGAGTGTTAACTCAATTTATGAATTGGTTTTAGATACTGTTTTTTTATATTTGGGTATATTTAGTCCCTAATTCAGTGATCTCATGTACTACCACATTGAGGCACAACTGTGCTCAAAGCAGTACTTTTACAGAATGGTTTGCTAGGATAAAAGTTTGGGTGACAGAAAAATCAACTAGGATACTAATGGGTGTGTGTGTATGTAGATATTTTAGCAAAAAGAAAATAATTTACTCAAAAATGGATAGGGGAGTTAAGGCATATATAAAATATAAAAGAATGTACTAAAGCTACTCCTTTGGTAATCTGGCCTTAGAAATGCTTGCTGTGTGGGAATCTGAGGAAAGTGATGACTAGATAATTTCTCTGCTATGCCCCTGACTTCCATCTGAGTCCTTACATGTAAATTTTAATGGCCATATCTCAGTTAATTTCAACTAATAGCCTTGAAGGCAGTTAGTAGTGTTGAAGGCAGTCTGCATCTTCTCTATCATGCTTTTCAAAATTCTTCACTGTACATTGTCTAACCTGAAGCCATTGCACATTGTTGCAGCAGCACCCCGCTTCCAAAATTAAAACTCGTATTGGTCAGGTTTACCCAAAAACATAGATACACATTAAGAAATTTCTTTAAAAAAGAGGTAGTTTTCATGATTGTAGGGCTCATCTGACAAGTGAAAAATCTACAGGGCAAGTCATTAGAAAGTCCAGGCTAGAATTCTGAGGCAGACAGGTCTGAATCACTGTCCATGGGCAGAATTTCTTTTTCAGGGAAGATGTGGACCATGAAGGGTAACTATAATCTATAGGTCATTTTATACTTTATTTTAAAATTATGTTTATTGCAGTTATCTAATTTACAACACTGTATGTACTTTAGGTGTCTAGGTTCACACCTCTTATGACACTGTGCCCACCACCAAAACACAAATAATCCTTCATCATAATGCATTGAACCCCCTCTTTGCTCCTAAAACTGCCTCATCACAATATCCGCCCCTCGCTGCAACCTCCCTATCTCCCTAGCCTTAGGTGTAGTCCGATTTCAAGTGTCTGTTCTGGTATGTTCCTTTGCTTTGCTTTTTTATATTCCACATATGAATAAAATGATCCAGTAGTTACCTTTCTCTTCCTGACTAACTGTAAACACCTTTACTTCTGTTCATGTTGTCATAAGACTTTATTTTTCCTTTACAACTGAGTAATGTTCCACTATGTGTAAACATACCTTCTTAACCCAGTCATGTGTTTTTGGGAACTTGGGTTATATCCATAGCTTGGCTGTTGTAAGTAGTGCCACAGTGAGCATGGGCTTACATATATCGCTTCCCATTAGTGTTTTTCAGGTAGATACCAAGGAAAGGGATTGCTATATCACTAGGTAGATCTATTTTTTACAAATCTATTTAGAGAAAAACTATACTGTTTACAAAGGATCTTAAACACATACCCACTAACAGTATAGGAGGATTCTTTTTTTCTGTCTTCTTGATAGGGCCATTCTCATAGGTGTGAGGTGGCCTCTCATTGTCTTTTTGATTTGCATTCCCCTGATAAGTGGTGAGGAACACCCCTAAGTTATCTTTGGAGATGTCTCTTTTAGTTCTTGTGTTGATTTTATTGATTTATTATTTTTGTTTTGACCTCTCCCTGCCTTTCTGCCCTGCTGTATGCCTGTGATGTATGGTCAGCTTGAACGTTTTGTTTTTATTGTGTATATTTCTTTATTATGTTTTTTGTTGAGTTGTATTTCTTTGAAATATTTTTTTTTCCAGACGAAAGGCAGTTGGTGCTTTAAAAATAAATTATTCAAATAGAGTATTTCTGTCTAATTCTGTTGACTTGATGATTATTGTACATTCTTTGATTTCTTTAAGATTGTAAGCTCAAGGAAGATTTCTCATGTATAACATACACATTGGTTATATATTTGTTAAGAAATCAGCTTGTTAT